TTTATTTATATTCATAAAAATAATCCTGAAAAAAAAAATTTTACACAACTGAGCATCAAATCAGCATAATATAATGATTTCTGAAGAATCATGTGACACTGAAGACTGGAGGTAATGGTACAAATGTTTGCTTTGATCACAGGAATAAATTACATTTTACAATATATCGAAAATAGAAAACGGGTTTAAATTGCAAAAATATTTCGCAATATTACAGTTGTTATTGTATTTTTGATCAAATAAATGCAGCTTTGGAGAGCATTAGAGACTAATATATCTGTATATAATGTAATCATATAATAAAAAAAAAATGTAACAGTATAGTAAATACTACCATGATGTACTAATACATTATTTAAATGTCCTATTTAAATTTTCATTCATACCAGAATGCAAAACTTGCTTATTATTGTTAATAAGAATTTGGGGTGAAAATGGTTATTTGTCATTTAACAATGTAAAACTGTCCCAAAACAGGCTTCATTTTCTTTCTATTTTTGTGACCAAGACATGATCCTGACAGGTTTTGTGAGACTCAGCCATACAGCCGCAAGTCATACTTTGAAAAGGTCCTGATCAAAGTCCGGCCTGAAGGAGACGTCTCTTCATGTGGACACCTTGGACCCGATGTCAAGGTTTGAATGAGCGGCCGAAGCGTGCTAAGGGTTTTCTGTTAGAGCGGTGTCCTAAATTAATAACTAATGATCGTTGCGAGGGAAGTGAATAGATCAAAACTAAAGCCTAAACAATCTCTGTTACTTTAATGTCCTGTTATCACTGTGAAGCTGCTTTGAAACAATCTATATTGTTAAAAGCGCTATATAAATGAAGGTGACTTGACTTGACGGATGCTTAATATTCAACAATATTACTGATCTGACTGTACTGATTCTTTTGAACTAGAACTGAACGGATCTGGATGACATCATTTTTTGCAAAACTGCTAAATAGATTAAATGAACTAATTTAATAATTGATGATCTAACTGAATCAACACTGAACTGACTTCAACAGCCGAAATGCTTTATTTTCCTGTTATCACTGTAAAGCTGCCTTGAAACAATCTGTATTATATAAAGCGCTCTATAAATAATGGTGACTTGAAACACAGAAAGCATTACATCATTCAGTTACAGCCATTTCAGTGTAAATGCCACTCCTAGGACAGGAATGTTGTGGAAATCACCTCAGTAACAGATAAACTACACACATCCAGTAATCGTGTCGCTTTCCCACAGTCTGTGTGCAGGACGGGCGGCATTCTTCACAAGTCGCGGTTGACGGGAAACATCGCGCTTAAAAATCTAAAGCATTTTTGGACGGCCGCTTGAGGTGAAGGAAACACTGCAATGTCATGGCGGTTGAAGATACACATTCCTAGGCTTTCTGACTGTGTTTGGCTATATTAGAAACTGAAGAATCTCCTCAAACAATCAAAAGCAATGTTGTAGCGACTGCTTTCCTTTGACCTGTATTATAGAGAACCTTCACAGACACACGCAATACACATATTTTGGCCTTAATATGACTGTCAGTCATACATAAGTAAAACAGGTTAGAAACAGGTACGATTTCTGCATCTTTCGAAACGCATTTATTAAAATGGCTAAGAGCTGTTATTATATAATAGAGCTGTTCATTGTGAAAATGGACTCCGTTCACAAAAATGTATGAACATGGTTAAAATATGGCTAGCATGTAGAACAAGCAATATTCAATTAGTTAAAATGTATGAGACTAATTTATTGATCGATATCCAAACTTGATTATTGCATTTTTTTTTTTTTTTTTTTTAAATGCCTGACAAATATGCATCACATTTGTTGGTTAAAACGGTGTAATCCAATTTTCATATGCAGTTCAAATACATACATCTTAAATTTTGACCTATATTTATCCATATTTGTTTTAGAGAATGACTTTTACAGGCTGACGGAAGACAGTTTTCTTTGACCGCACACTTTCTAAAATCAGCCAATCGCAACCGCAGGTCACTGACCCCTATTGGTTCTCCTCTGTTTACTTAATTTTCTTTCAAAATTGGATTCAAATATATGTTTGTGCCTATAAATGCAAACCTGTCCATCACTAGGGAAACATTTTGTCCTGATTGAAAAAAGAAATGTCAGTTTAAATCGACACTGAATTATCAAACACAACTAGGTTTTTTGTTTTGAGGAAAATATAATTGTCACCAGAGATGCAATGTAGTTATTGAATTCATTTAATAGCAAACACTGCAATTAAGGTGTGATACGAGTAAGGTTAGGGTCAGGTGTGGTGGTATGGGTATGTTTAAGGGTGGGTTAAGGTGTAAGAGAAGGTCAACAGTGTAATTATAGATGTCATTCCAGAAATTAAATACAGCTGTAACTATATTACGGTATATCTTAAATGTACATACAATGTAAAAACATGTATGTACACAAGTGCACTGTATCAAATTATTAATTTAAAGGTTAGTACATAGTAGGTCAAGACATCTAATATAAAGTGGGGCCAAAAATTTGATTGAGGTGTATTTTTGCCCAGACCACTGCTGAAGATTCACAAGCTGAGTTGTCAATCGCCATCTGGAGGACGTTTGTATTACATACAAAATAGTTTGAGTTGGAAACATTTGCCACCCAGTGGATGGTCCACCAATCCAGACAAACATAATTGTGTGATGCCCCCTGCTGTCCAGAAGACACTAAAAACTACATGTGTAGCATCTAATTAAACGTGTGTATGCCAGCAAAAATAGAATTTGAGAGAAATTTCACAGTTTTTAAAGTCCCCATGAAACCAAAATTTGGCTTTTAGTAAGAATATGTTAGCCTTACTGTTATCTATAAGGTATCTATCAGATTCAAAACAATGACAAAGTTCTTATTTAGAAAATATAGGCATTAAAACTCACAGTCTCTCACTTCCAGCAACATGGATCAGTGATTTTGATGACATCACTCTGCATATTTCTGTCCAATCAAATGCTCTCTAGAATCTGAAGCGTCCCGCCCCCTACATTATAAATAGATGCTGAAGCTGTGGCTAAAATCGGCCACTTGTTCACACATTTACTATTCTCTACATGATGAATGGCACACAGTGCACTATATAGGGGATAGGGAACGATTCAGAGTAAATATGCTTTCCATTGGGCCGAATGAAGTCTGGTTTCCCGGTAATGACCGCAGCTCCGGTCCAGAGACACGATACACAGAGCGGATCATGTGATCGAGTCGCCGCAGACCAGAAAACGTATCGGACCCATTTGAATTTTACACCGAATGCTATATATTAAAACGATATGGAGAAACGGTTAGAGATTAGAAGGGAAACTGCTGCTTTTTCCCAGAGCTCAACGGCTCTGGCTCTCTGTGATATAGACTAAATGCTAATGGCTAGGAAAAAAAGGGAGGAGCTGCTCGATATGTTCCTCTGTGTCTTCCTGTTTAAGTGGAAATTACGTCAAAACACTGTATAACGCTGCGTGCTATACAGTGGACCTTTAAGGTTGATATTCCTCATGACCTCAAACACTTAGGGGGCGTTTCCACACTTGGCAAGTTTGGTTCGATTAAAACTAACTCTGGTGCGATTGCTCTGTTAGTGTGAATGCTTCCACCAAACAAGCGGATCGAGACGCACCCTTTCATAGGGTCTCGGACCACTTCCAAACGAACTCTGGTGCGGTTCTACTGAAATATGAACGCAACATGGACCAAAGACATCTAAACTACCCACAAACAGGAAGTGAGGTCACAAGATGCGACCCAAAAAATGGACTTGGATGAATGATCATCCAATCATATTTTGAAAAATCAACAAACCAATTCAATAAACCAAACCAATTCACTACCTGATATAGATAATAAGTATATTTCAAGAGCCTTTTCATGAAACGCCATTAAACAAGAAAAGATGCCAATCCATTTGAAAACACACTCAATTATATTAATCCCACGATTTCAGTCTAATTAAATCATACAAACAAGACCAAATTACTCAGTCTCTCGTAATGCTAAACAACGAGATCTGTTTAGGTTGTTTCTCGAACTAAGATGAGGCTTAATCTGTTGTTGTACCGTTTATGGCGATTCTCTATTCTTCTGCCTGGGAAACCAAATCCCAAAAAAATATATGAAGAGTTTGGTTCCAAAACGCGAAACGCCATTTTTTTTAAAAAAATTAGTTACTGCAAAAATCAGTATTGTATCTGGTTGGTATTGAAAAGTCAATGTTTAATTGTAAGTAAAATGCGGTATCCGCCGTGTTAATCTGTCATGTTTTCTCCCTTTCTTTCCAAACCGCGACAAACGCCAGTCTCCCTTCTCTGCAGAATGCGATATATCCGCTCTCAACCAATCACAGCGAAACATTCCACGCAATGTAAACAGTAACGGCAGCGCCTTAAATACACCCGGCTTCCTAGTTTTTCTTATCTATTTTGTACTTTTCGATCAACAAACAAACAAAAAAATGAATAATTTTGACGGCATTGATGAACCTGTGTTTGTTTCTGCGGTGGGTAAGAAACCTAAGGCATCGAAATCGAATAATTTACGTGAGGAGATTAAGAAGACGAGGCACTCGGGAGGAGGAAAAATTTTTTCAATCTTCATACAGTTCTTAATAAAAATAGTATACTAATAAACTTACGTTGTTGTGTATTTTTAACAGTTTCAATATGAAAAAAAAAAAACTTTTATATTGATTCAATGGATTAATTGCATTTTGGGGGGAAAAATTATCCGATTTTATAATAAATCTTTGAAAATCAAAACCTGGATTTAATTTTTGTTTTGTTATTATGACCTACAAATGCTATGTGAAAGTTTGAAACAGAAAATAGTGGTTTTCATCTTTCCACTTTCTTGGTAAAGAAAACACATTTTTACTCAAATTAATCTAAATGGATTTATTGCGTATTGGAAGCAAACTCTTCATATATATATACATACTAAATTCAACCAAAAGGTTAAAAATGATGAATTTATAGTTGCAGTGTAACATACCTTTAACCGGGGAGAAGAAGTTGAAGAATGAATCTTGTGGAATCTCTTTGGTGACCATCCGAACGGTCCCTCTTCCTTTGTGTTTCTGCTTCTTTTTAACAATTTTTACGGTCACATCTTTGCCTTTTTGCCAGTCAATCTTACAACTAAAAAAAAAAAAAAAAAAAAGGAAAAATGCATAATTTAGAAACACTGGTAGTCCAGATTTATGTAAAGAACAGAATCAAATGTAAATGCCAAGTAAAAATGTTTAATTCTCTCCCAAACAAGCCACAAATTGATGTGTCATTCATACAAAATCAATTCTACACTACCGCTGAAAAGTTTGGAATAATTAAGATGCATGTGTTTAAAAGAAGTAAATACAGTGATATACAGAGGTACAGTGGCATTTTGGCGTGCTTTCAAAGAATGGTTTGACAAATCAATTTGAATTCCATAACTTTTTGTTTTTGTTGGCATGGTCTGAAGATGATCTGGTTAAATTTTCGTGAAAATCAGAGCAACGGCCTAGGGGGGAATTTGAAAAAGAAGGTTTTTCAGAATTTTTACATGACTGAAAAAGACGTCATAGATGTGAATCGATCATAGACGACGATCGAATCGTCTTGATGTTTCTAGCTCTTACAGTTCAAAATGTATTAGCATAAACGTGAGAAAACATTCGACCAGTTGGTGGCGCTAGAGGGTTTGGATTAGAGACTCCAAATTGGCTATGGTGACAGTTTAGACTGTCCTCTAACTGTGTGCCAAATTTCACAACTTTCCCACAAGCGGGTTTAAGGGCTGCCATAGACTTCCAGAGCGTAAGAAGAAGAACGCCAACGGTTAAAACAGGTGCCCACACACCTTTGGTGCACAATATTATTGTTTTAATGTATTTTGATCAAATAAATGCAGCCTTGGTGAGCACAAGAGATTTCTTTTAAAAAAAACAATAAAAAACCTTAATTTCAAACCTTTGATTGGTAGGGTAGGTAAAGACTTAAAGACTTTTGGTCAGGATATCTATTAGAAACACCACTAACTAGTCCTCCATCTCACCCTTCACAGTCCACGATCTCCGGCCCCTCGAAAGAGAACGGATCTGCAGCGTCCGGCTCTGATTTCATCTTGTAGACTTTAGTGAGGACCGAGTTACTGAAGAAGCTGTTGGGCTCAAAGTGGAACTCTAACGTGAAACTCTGTTTTTTGACAAACAATTGAACAATTTTAAAATTGACACCTGTATATATTTGTTTATAAGTAAACAGAGGCTAGTTTAGCTGGTTTGACAAACCATTGGCTGTCCAGGCTCAGAAAATTTCACAGTGATGTCCTGCAAGTGTTTCAGGATTGGCTCATCATGCTCCTACAGGAAACAAAAAAGGATCCCAGGAGGGTTAGACTAAGCTGGCATGGATTCAACTTCGGAAATCACTGTGTGAAATGGAAGAAACATGGCTGAGAGAATCCGCAAAACACCGACAGATCTCTGAGGATACAGCCTCTGTACAGTCCTACTGATCACTTGATTATTTAAATGAAATCAAGAAGATTATACATTAAATGACAACATAATCAGATAACATGTGAATTGTGCATGTACCGATACAAACTTGCATATCCTCTAAGGCAGGGGTTCTCAAAGTTTTGATAGGTGAGGGCCAATTTAGGAACCCAACATTGAACTGAGGGCCGCCAAAGTGGCGGGGGAGAAAACGAAGAAAAAAAAACTGAAAAGAAAATCCCATTTGAAATTATTTTAATGACCAGGTTGCATCTCTACAGTTTACATTAGTTGCAATAAACACATTTTAATTCATAACTGAGGCTAAACCTGGCAAAACTTGTGAAAATTTTGGGGGGGGGGGGGAGAGAAATAAACTTTTAAAATAGAAGCTTACCAAACAAGTCATCATCATCATTCATTTCTATCATTGCTTGTCAGTCGCGTTTCCATTATTGCAGATTTGCATATTATTATCTATCTTTTTTAACCCGTAACTGAAAAACGGAAAATGAACGGTTGTTGTCTTTTTAAAACGCAAAGTTGAACAACATTTTAATTTGAACTGGCTTCACCAACTGCGGCGCAAAAAAAGTAAATATCGACAGACTTTTTCAGATTTTTGTTTAAATGACTGTTTGCCCCTTTATTAAACATTTTAAATATTCACAAATTAATATGGAAAACATGTCGATTTTACTGGTTTTCTAAGGCCAAATTAGAACCTGGAATTTATATTTTTCCCGCAGTGATGAATGAGAAGAGCCATATAGCCTGTAGGCCCTACGTGTCTGATCTAGCCTGATTTATAGGTGAGTTATAGGCTAATGATAATAAATGCGTCTGAAAAAACAGCGAGGCATTTTAATTGTTTATTAATAAACTATTGTTTTCTAAGTGTCGGCTAAAAACATATCTCCATCTCTGCTGTTAAGCAGATGCGCTTTTAGAGAGAAATCCACCTTTCATACGGATTACATAATCAGGTATTTGCTTTCGATTCGAGTTTGTTTGTTTAAAAGTGCACATTTTAAGCTTTAGCCTACATAGGCTATATTTTGTTTCAGTTCTCGCGCTCCAGTTCACGGAGATCATGAAAGCGCGTAGTAGCCTAGGCTACTGATTGTTTTATTTTATTTTACAAAAGCACGTTTTCTTGTTATGAGTTTACACAAATAAAAGTAGTTGCGAATAATGCATTATTATTTTCTGTATGACCAGAAATGATCGACTAGTTTAAGTTGTTTCCACTGTTGATAGGAAAATGCAAGTGTTCGCGCCCGCGAACATTTTGAAAGGTAATGGAAACGCGGCTATTAATAAGCTTGACATTGTTAAGATTATTATTAAGTCACATTGAAAATTGATTACTTGGTCAACATACCCTTTTAAATTGCAATGGGATTTGTGGTGCTGGTTTCGGTTGGCCACGATTCCTATTCCTGTGTAGACAACCACTGTTCCTGGTGGGCTTGGCAGTGAGGTCAAGTGCGATCGGTCGGTCGGACCATGTAATTACCGCTTATGCCTATGGATGCCGCTAAACACCACTAAACGGAGATATTCATTTTTTCAAAGCAATAGTTTTAACAGTTTTACAGATGTTATCGCGGGCCGCCAGAAATGTTTCGGCGGGCCGCCATTGGCCCGCGGGCCGCACTTTGAGAACCTATGCTCTAAGGGCTTCCTGTCACAAAAACCACATCCTCTGTAAACCACATCAACCCTTTATGCAAAGGGTCAAAGCAGTCATCATTGATTTATGCAATGCCCTTACAGTAGTAATAGGACTAGAAATTTTAATGACATGTCATCAGCTGAGGCTATTTTCATGACAAGAGCAAAGTTACAAGAATAGAGTTGCGTAAATACAAAACAAAAACCAAACTAAAAATAGAGTAGTTTAAAAGATATTTTAAATGCACATATTATAAAAATTCTAATACTTCGTAGGGTAAAATCTAACTAAAGTCCTTAAGTGAGCTTTTTATAAGAAAAAAAAGTAAAAAAAAAAAAAAAAAAAGGCAGGACCATCCAATAAAATGCAATGTTTATGTTATAAAATGTATAGCTCTAGCTCCAAAATCTGGCCACAGTGACCCAACAGTAAAAATATGTATTATTATTATTATTATTATGATAAAATGTGTAATGATAATATTAGTATAATTGGCCAGTAGTTCATGCTGTGCATAACAAAAGCCCTAAACTGTGGCAAATTTACTTTTAAGGGCCCCAACATAGCTCTCCTTGGGTTGCCACCTTGTCGTGGTGGAGAGCCTTGCGTGTTCCGATGAACCTGAGAGCAATGCCGTCTGGAGCTTAAGCTCCTGGTAGGGTCACCCATGGCGGTAAGGTCGAGGGGGAGGTTCCAGACAAAGAGTGACCCAAAGGGATATACCATCATACCTCAACAGAGAAGGAAAACTCTGTACAGACTCCATCACCACTGCCTTGTGGTTAGCTCCAGGGAAAGCAAAAGGCTAAGGGAGTAAACCCCAAAAGAAAATCAGGAGTGGATCCCCTTTGGCGGATGGTGAAGGAATTTGTCACCATCCGGCAACTCCTGCAGCTGCGCTGACACTGACTGTATTGGCTCGCCTTTCAGCCAGATCCTGCCAGCAAAGCCGAGAGGGGGGTCCTGACGTCTGGGCAACCCAGTATCTCCATATTATTAGCCCAGGCCTGCACCTGGAGAGGTCACTCCAGCTGCACTGTTTCAGTGCAGAAACAACACGGGGAGCAGCAGTCTACCAGTGATAAGTCATGGCTCATTTGGCGTCGAGCCAGGCGCTAGGGGTTGCTCCCGACGGTGGGAGGAATCATCATGTTCCATTGGGTCGTTACCGCCCGCCTTAACCAGGGCAGCCCCCGGGCAGTTAGGTACTACCCCGCCTGAACCTGCTTGCTTCAGCGGGTGCATGGAGCTCAGACAAAATCGACAGGCAGGTTGTAAAACCCAGCACCAGGAAATAATCAAAAGACCAAAAAAATCACCAGCCCTGCGGCTGGCAACTTGGAATGTCAGAACATTGTGCCCCGGCCTCTGTGACGATTTCTTCAGCAAGCCGACGACGCTAGAAAAACCGCTATCATCAATAACGAGGTGTTAAGGCTCAACATCGATGTTGCCGCCCTTCAAGAGACACGTCTTCCATACTGTGGAAGTCTAAAGGAGAGAGATTACACTTTCTTCTGGCAAGGACTGGAGCAAGACAAGCGCCGACTCTATGGGGTCGGCTTTGCAGTGCGAAATTTTCTCTTACCATCAGTAGAACCTCCTTCTCAGGGGACTGAGCGTATCCTCAGCCTCCGTCTCACAACCTTCTCGGGACTCTTGCACATCTTCAGCGTCTACGCCCCCACACTATGCTCCACAGCTGAGGATAAAGATGCTTTCTATTACGAACTTGAGACTAAAAATCGCGGAGATTCCACCGAAAGACAACCTGTTCATGCTCGGAGACTTCAATGCCCGGGTGGGCGCTGACTACATCTCCTGGCCACAATGCATTGGACATTTTGGCGTTGGCAAGCTAAATGAGAACGGACAGCGACTACTTGAGCTATGCTCTTACCACAATTTGTGCATTACCAACACCTTCTTCCCCACTAAGCCCCACCACAGAGTGTCTTGGAGACACCCCAGATCCAAACACTGGCACCAGCTTGACCTTATTGTTACTCGGAGACCCATGCTCAAGCACGTGCTCGTCACCCGCACGTATCACAGTGCTGACTGCGACACGGACCATTCCCTGGTCAGCAGTAAGGTGCGTTTTCAACTTAGACGAGCCCATCGCTCGAAGCAGAAGGGCCGCCCTCGCATCAACACGGCAAGAACATCAGTGCCAGAGCTGCGGGAATGTTTCGCCAGGACCATTGATGAGGCCCTGGAGAACTGCCCTGTAGACAGTGTTACAACGCGATGGGAGTACATCCGTGACACCGTGTATAAGGTCGCCTCAGACACCTTTGGGAAAAAGGTGCAAAAGAGTGAAGATTGGTTTGTGGCAGGGATCGAGGTGCTGGAGCCTGCCATCACTGCAAAACGTACCATTCTCCTTGAGCACAAGAGACAGCCTTCTGCAAGGACGTTGGCTGCCCTCAGAGAGGCACGAAATAACACAAAGAGGATTGCCCGAAAGTGTGCGAACGACTACTGGCTGAAGTTGTGTGGCGATATTCAGACTTCGGCAGACTGTGGTAATATCCGAGCCATGTATGAAGGCATGAAGAAAGCGTTTGGTCCCAATGCCATCAAGACTGCTCCCCTAAAATCTACTTCCGGCGAGATCATCACAGATCGCCGAAAGCAGTTGGAGAGATGGGTTGAGCACTACCAGGAACTGTACTCAAGAGAGAACATTGTTGCTGACACAGCCATTCGAAATACCATGCCTCTGCCCATCATGGAGGAGCTTGACTCGCCACCCACCATCGAGGAACTTGGGAAGGCCATCGATTCACTGGCCTGTGGGAAAGCACCAGGCAGTGATGGAATTCCATCAGAGATTATCAAGGCAGGAAAGGGGAGCTCTCTTCTTGGCCACCTCCACAACCTCCTGCTCAAATGCTGGGAAGGGGGCATTATACCCCAAGACATGCGAGACGCTAAGATCCTGACGCTTTATAAGAACAAGGGTGATCGCAGTGACTGCAATAACTATCGTGGGATCTCCCTTCTCAGTGTTGTGGGGAAAGCCTTTGCACGTGTCATCCTTAACCGCCTACAACTGCTCGCCGATCGTGTGTACCCAGAGTCGCAATGCGGGTTCCGAGCAAAACGGTCAACAATTGACATGGTGTTCACCCTTAGGCAGCTACAGGAGAAGTGCCGTGAGCAGAGACGTCCTCTGTTC